GACTTGGGAAGAGAGCATGGCAGTGTCTTGCCATGGTGGTTCACAAATATGTCAGCTTAAAGCCACGGGGAAACTGAGCCCTGGGGAGGAGCGGAGTGTGCCATGAGTCCGGATGTGCCGCCTTCAGGGCAGGCTGGGAAGGGAGCGGGGATGGCTAAGGCCATCCCTGCCTGTTCAGGGCAGGGTGACACTCCCAGGGGCAAAGGGATGTCTACTGCCTGGGTTTGTTAATGGTCCTGAGCTGCTGTTGTCCGAAACCAAGGCCTGCAGCGAGGGCTACCGCGGTAGCCATACTGATAAATTGGGGGGATTCTGTAAGCTTACCCATGAAACATAAAAATGGGATCGAGGCACAATATTTAGGTTGTGGTATTTTAGATGCCTTAACGTGGTGAGTTTCATGTAAGCTGCTTGAATTTCAGTCAGGGTTGGTTCCTTTAATCTCCTCAGTCAGATCTACTGCTCTGCACTTTTATTTCTCTGAACCTCACAGTTCAGTGAAAATTGTAATGTTCTTAAAATATCACCTCCAGGAAAAGCTGTAGATGCATCCATGTGTTTGTACATATTTATACATATATTGCACCGCCTACTTACATGAATGAAACATGAAGAAAACCTGCTATAATTAAAAATAAACCTGTTTTTAAGGTAAGTTAAGGTAATTACTTATACAATATAAACTATTTAGCTAAAATTATACCATGTCAAATAAATTTCAATGTGCATACAATTTTCTGTCTCTGTATGTCACGTTATAACAAAACAATTCCATTATATTAGTGCCTTTAGGGATATAATGCTGGGGTTTTTCCACAGAAGAAATAAACTCTTACGTTGCAGGTATTTCTTGCTCTGCTCTTGATCTTCAGGTGATAGTGTTTACTAAAATTGATTAGTAATTATTTTTTTCCATTGTACTTGTTATTTTTTATTTTAATGATTGCTACAATAATTTGGCCTATTTTATCTTGGTAGCTAAAAATTTCACAGATAGTTTTATTAGCATAAAATACTAATTTGTGGTGTTATTACATACATGCAATAAGATATGAAAGCACCCTAAGCCATGGCTGAAGATTGTTTTCACTCCTCTTCTTTGAATATGTAAAAACCACAGGTGTTATATTGTAAGATGGATAAAAACGTGTACTCAGTTACTCAATTTGCCCACTGTCTTTTAAAAAATGGAACTTCATACCAGGATGTAGGTACAAAACAAGCAGAGCTTTTAGCTGGAATCGTGATACCGGCCCAGAGCGGGAGGGTTCATTGTCACGGTGTATTTAGCTATTTCTGCATTTTGCATTTGTGACTTAAAAGGGGAGAAATATCTGTTTGGATGCAGATTTCCTGTTTTTCAATTTCCAATTTAACTACATGGAATATTCACAACGTCTCTCTTACATCTTCCACTCTGCGCTGCTAAAAGCAACAATCTATTTCAGGTTGTTCAAAGAAACTGGTATTCTCTCCTGTCTTCTGAGTTCTGGTGTTTCTGACAACAGCCGCCTGTTTTTTCTGTACTTCGAAAAAACCCGATCAACTGCAAAAGCCCTGGAGGCGATCTGTCCCGTCTCTTGCCTCTCACCACCCTACAATAACCCTGATCGCTAGGAACACCCAAACAGGCATCTCAGCTGAACGGGAGAGGGGAACTAGGGGGATGGCAGGAATCCTCACTGATAGTTTGAAAATCAGAGAATTAGAGAATGAAATTGCTAAAACTGAAAACTCTGTTTTACAGACAGCAAGCAGACTTATGCTTAAGCCTAAGACTGTTGTACGTCTCACTAACAAGTGTCCCTTTAAGCACAGCTTCATCTTGGCATTATTACTAATGTTGTTATTCTTTAATAAGCTTGTCTGGCTCTGATCTCACATTCGTGTTCAATTTCTACCTCTTGAAATCCTTCCTTCCAACTCCTGTCATTGAGCAGGGCATCAGGAATTGCTGAGCTCCAGCCTAAATTATGCTACCGAATCAGCCTGTCCCTGAGCATATCGGATAATCTCTATGTAACTCTTTTGTGGGAAGGTAATAATGCTATGGTATATTACACTCAGTGCACAGACAGAATTTCTTACGGTTTGAACAGTGCTTTTCTGTGAGGAAGCTTAAGTAAACATTGCATAGATTTACCAGTGACATCTTCCTGTGTTCAAGATTTGCTGTTACTGTGGCCCATTCTCCCAGCAGGTTCCCTTTCTGCCGTATACCTGTCAAGCCTGTTTTACTGAAACAGAGCGTGGTCAGCTTTAGTCTACTTTGTCTTCTCACTAAGCAGCTTCATGATCAAGATTTTGTGATAATTTGACAACTGCGTGGCTGTATAGTTCTTCCAGACAGACAGCATTTGGGGTCACTTTAAAAGTCGGTATTCATTCCCTAAACCTTTATGTCCATTTCTACAAATAGGGCAATTTGGTAAAAATCATGATGCAACAACCTTAAGCATGGTGAAACAAAATCAGGGAATGGAGCAAACCTTGCTTGGGTTTGTTTTTGTTTTTTTTTCCCCCCTCCTCTTGGTATAAAAAATAATCCTGACTATGCTAATGGCACCCTGTTGTCCCTTTTAGAGGTTTTTTTCCTTTTCTTTTTTTCCCTCTCCCTTTCTTTTTAACCCAGAAATTATATCTGGGATTTACTGTGCAAGGCAGAAATCACCTGCCAGCAGACAGAATTTTACAGGCTCAGGAGCATCGTTTCTATGGTGTGTCTCACAATAACAGCACATATTTAACACAGCGAGAGCAGAATATATGGCTGTGAAAACTGAAGTCTGATATGGTAGCTGTGATAATGATTTAGTCTGGCAGGTTTGAGACTATCTCAGCATCATGCAGATGAGATGCCTACAGGAATTAGAAGAGGTCTGGATACTTGCAGCGTCACGTATACAGAACAAGGCTGCCCACCTACTCGCTCATTATCATAAACTGCAACTTTTCCGTCTGTGTTTTCAAGCATGTTCACTGGATCGTAATTAATGCAGTTTAAATCTGTGTGTGTGCCCACTTGTTTGCTCTTTTCTCCTCTGGAACAATCTCTTTTATATCCCTTCACCTTGGGATGTGAAAGACTGGGGAAGCCTGAGAGGGGCCGTAGCTTCCTTCAGTAGTTTCCTAAAGCAGTGCCATAGTTGATTATGGTTGTTTCATTTAAAAATTAAGATCTTGGATTTGAGGCAAGCTTAAATTTAGAGCAATAGAATATCTCTGTCTTCTACAGAGATAGTGATTCACTGACATTTTTGTAATATTTTTATCTTTTCCCCTTTATTGTGACTTGCTAAGTCTCAGCTAACCCACTAACTTGCATTAGCACTTCTACTGTGCTGAAAAACCTCCTTTCATCTCCTGATTATCTTTATGGACATATTTTATCTATGGTTTGGTATATTTTAAATCTTATATTGGTATTAACTGAGCTTGCCATCAACATGTTCATTAATAAACTTTAAGACAAAACAAAGAACTTGCTCACTAGGTGAATTTCCTCAAACACATTTTCTGTTCAATTCTCTGTGTTTTCCAGTGACTTGAGAAGATCTCCCCAGTTGATTACACCGCTAGAATCCAGCATACTTTCTTCAAAATTCAGGCATTTATTCTCTGGTGAAAGTGTACTGGCTTTTATAGATTCATGGATCAAACTCTTCCCTTTCCTGCTTGGCTTTTCTCGAAAGTAAACAGACAGGTTACCAGAGCTTTTATGCAATAATGAATTATTGGGAGAAACATTTTCTGCTTGTTTCCACAAGGATAACCAAAGTTGGACTTGGAAATAAAACCAGGATGATCTGGTTTATCATCTTTATAATGTGGTGTTGAGCATACAAAATGACACTGTTTCTGAGGGGAAACCAAGCACTGCCTAGCTGGTTGCTAGCTGGGGGAGGCATCCCAACACCTCCACGTACCCATCACGGCACAAATAGAGGTTGAGGAAAAAGAATAGAGCAGGGGAGGGAAATCTGGGTTCAACTCAGTCTGTTTGAGGCTTTTTATGTGAATTTGAGTGAATTATTTATTGTATATGGGCTGAGATATCTTTGTGCTTGTTACCTGTGTCTTAAGTGGGGAATTGGCTTGGTGATAAAAGGACAGAGACATGGATAAAGGAATGTGGCTAAAGGGAAGAGGGACTTGGGTGTGGAAAACTTTACTTAGATTAAGACCCCACCCACCCACCCACCCCGTCAGAATTAGAATAGTGGAAGAAAATCCATAAAGAACTGTTACATACGAAGAGACTGCCACTGGCGGAAGCCTCCGAACCACTAAGAGCTGTTACTAAGTGCCTGCTCTGTGCTCAGATTCCTCCCTACGCAGTCATTGGAAACAGGAGTACCATGTCTTTGCTCTGCCATGATTTGACTGTTCCCATTACCTATAGGACAGCTGCTCCCCAACAATAGCAGGGGTCAGGAAATAATTTTCCTGTAAAAGCCTGTCACCAAGGCCTTATAAAACTGTATACTTCATTCACAGCATAAGTGAAAGGGAAGTTCTGCTAAGGCTAAGTTATTACAACTTAGTCAAGGGACTAACACAAATCTGAGCGAGAGCCGGTGCAGTGGGACTGCTGAAGACCTGCTCTCGGAGGTAGCAAAAGCACCGAGTGGTTGGCTGACACTGCACCGTAGTGTGTAGGGGATAGTGGACTGACTCATCTTCGCGGTCTGAAAACGGGAAAGACCTTGAGACCCAGTATATGAGGACTGGTTTTGCCTTCCCCTCAGTGACTCAGTTGGACCTGTGGGTTTGGGGTCTGTAGCATCGTGTTGATGACAGCCGTGGTGGTTGTGCTAACAGGGTGGATGCATCCTGTATGCTCTAAACAAAGTAGCCCGTTGCTTACTCTAACACCAGGCATCCGTAACTGCCCTGTCCTTTCAGCCGATACCATTCACAATGTTTAACCTCACAGTTCTGTTCATGCAGCTGACAACCCGCTATTTCACTTAATTGTGTATCATCTTCTTTCCTCTCAGAATTATGGTTTGGAGACCGAAAACCTGAGAACTCTGTCTCACAAGCTGAACGCCTCAGCCAAAAATCTTCAGAACTTTATAACGGGTAGAAGGAGGAGTGGCCATTATGACGGCAGGGCCTCCAGACGACTGCCAAATGATTTTCTTACCTCTGTAGTTGACCTGATTGGTGCTGCCAAGAACTTACTAGCCTGGCTGGACAGGTAATTTAATATTCCTTGATCCTTTATGCATGAGAATAAATCTTTGAGGGTTTTTTTGTGTTTGTTCTTTTTCTCTTGTACTCTTTTATTCTAATACTAAAATGGCAGTTCTGGAATTTTAGCTCTAAATTTTGTTTTGCAGATACCTCAAATATTGCTGGCAAAATGTAGTACCCTTTTCTGTCAGGAAGGTGTTAAGGTTTTCTCTAGTTAGTTTTTCAGGTTCTCTTCAGTCCGATAATATTTTGTGCAAAATGAATACTTTTGCACTATTCCAAGTTGGCATCTCACTGCCACAAGTGGTAACATCATCAGCAATTTCAGAAGGAAGGGTAAGGAAGTAAAGACTGTGAAGTTTGAACTGTCCTTCAGCCATCAAAAAGACGCAAAAAAAGCTGGAGTTGAAAAACTCAATTAAGAATATTAAAAAAAAAATAGTACTTGCTTAGTCTGAAAATTAAATTTTCTAATTAGAAGAGTTTTTATCAAGAGTAGGATTGATGTGTTAAGTACAGTTGTGGTATTGGTTAATTATCAACAATCAGCCACTAGGGTTTTTTTTTATTTACGAAGTAAGAATTTGATTAAAAGTATCTCTCTGAAGAAATGTAGTTAAAATTTTGACTGTGGAAAGACAGAAACCAAAACATAAAATAGCATCAGAGTGTTTATGTTTTGTTTCTCTTTCTTTGGAGTTATAGCAACAGATAGCTTTATCTTGAATCTGAATGCTCTTGAAGGTATAAATGGCACCACAGAAATCACAGTGAGAGTGAATCACCCTCCTTTATGGTATTTGTATAATCCTGGTGACATCTTCCTAACCTAATGCCAGCAGTCATATTCTCTCCAGCTATGACCGTGTCAGTTCTTATAAATTCAAATGGGGTCAGATTCAGCTAGAATTTGGAAAGCCTGAAGAAAACCGAGTGTGCAGGAAGCTGTTAGTGACTAAGTAGGCTTTACTTTGCTCTCTGAATTAAGGTGCTAACTGCTGCTGAAGAGTGATGTCATATTAGAAATGCTGTCTTTTTGATGAGCCGTACAAAGGAAATCTGGACTACTTACATTTATTTGGAAGCTCCTATTTCCACTTTCCACAAGAATGGTAACTTCTGATGTTCTGGCCAAAATCCAATTTACATCCTTCCTGCCTACGTTGTTTCTTGTTTCAAAGGCATGTTTTACCAAAGTTGTGTAACTTGCTGCTGGAGATTGGCATGACTAGGTGTTTCACATTTCTGTGGTGTGGAACTGGTGTCTATATTACACACATCTGCTTATGCTGTCATCGGGAGTTATAATTCTCAATGCCGTATAAACCTATCCTTCTTTTGTCACAGGTCTCCATTTGTCAGCGTGACAGAATACTCACTGCTGAAAAACAACATTGTTCAACTGTGCCTGGAACTAACAACCATTGTGCAACAGGTAGGAGTGGTTGTCTTCCGCTCTGGGTCCTCTTCATACTGTTGCTTAAAAACTGCAATAGTAAAAATATTGCTAAGCTTTTACTTCACCAGAAAAATTGTTTTAGCATTACCTCTCTGTTCTTTGCATAGTCTCTTTCTCTGGGAGTGATGGGAAGATTTTTGGACTTTGGTTATCGTCATATGCCTGGATAGATTGAAGGACAGTGTGAAGTTAAAAATAATCCACTTTTCTTCTGAGTAGACAACTTCATGTCAGGTTATCTGCCACCATGCAAGTGTTAAACAAAAGAAAGCCACAGTGGGAAACAGCTTAACTACTGCTAACAGTTTATTACAGATTAAAATATGAATGATCAAAAATCCTTCAGGAACAAGTTCTAACAATACATGCAAATATGTCCAGAACCTGTACTGTGGCTCTTCACTTAAAGGAGAGCCAGGTACACGAATGTTGTTTAGTGGTTGACATGAAATATTCATAACATTAAACAAACCAAATATGGAACAAATAAGGGTAGTAGTACTATCATCACTGATATTCATTAATTAATTGTGATATAGTACAGTCCACAGGTACATAAAATTAATGTATCTGGTCTGTAGCGCTACACAATACACAAATAATAATTGTCTCTGACAGTGTCTGCCCCTGAAGTGAGACCAGAGGTGACACACAGGTCCAGAAAGACTGAATAGAAATTTGTTTTAGAAATATTTACAGTAAGCTTCTCCTCTTGTGAGTAGATAAAAATATTGATGAGAGAAAATAGTGATATTGGAATACGTGGAGAGGTTAGAGAGCAGGCAGGACTGTCTTGGAATGAAGCAAAAGAGAAAGATGAAAGTACTGTGCGAGGGAAAGCAAGAAGAAAGCTTAGCTAAAGCTGTGGTTTTGTAGGCATCTTAAGCTGGCCCTGTCTCCAATATACAGGGCTCCATTGCCCGCCTCTGTCCTGTGCTGGCGCGGTTTTCCATGTAACCTCACAGTACAACTTATTTAATTTAGAGGGCTTCCTGGACTAGTAGCATTCTGCAAACTTGCCCCCCCTCCTGCCCCCCCCCCCCGCCTTCAATTTCATTTTAGTTCTTGGAAAAAAAGAACTAAGGCTGATAAACATCAATCTTTGTATTTTACACTATTATCCTTAATTTATAATATTCAGCTTTATTCCTTTTAGAAATGTTGTCCTTTATGCATTTTTGCAGTGCAAAACAAAGGTCCTATTTCTCTTTTTTTGGTTTAAAAATTCCTGTGTAGGCATTTAATTATTTATGTATCTTATTAAGCTTTCTCTTACAAGGTGTTTATAGCACTAGGCTATTTTTGATTTACAGACTAAGCAAAATGAACTTCTCCACAGTATAAAAAGTTCAGATTCTGATTCCGCCCTTCAGCTGATATTGCGCTTTGTTTGTGAGAGTTTGATTTTTCCCTGTGGTCTAGGTGAAAATAGTATAATCTTGAATTGCTGTCTCCATTTCTGTCGTTCATTTCACTGCTTTTGGCAGATGAAATTCAGTTCTCTGCCAGCAATAGCTTGGTTCTTTTTTTCAGTTCTTCAACTCCACTCCCAAAGCTGTCTTCCTTTTGACATCTTAAAAACAGTCTATCTTTTAGCATAAACTCTAAGACATTCCGAGATGACAAATGTTTTGCTAGTTCTTCAGGTCAGTTACAAATCAAGCTTTGTCTTTTCCTTATCTTATTGTTAGATCTGGGTTGTTTCATAGTCATCTATTAAGATCTTTTTACAGTATATTAAACTTAGCACCAGAAAGAGTAGATAAAACAAAATCATTCATAGGGTGGCACTTTTGCTGTTACTAAATCTGAGGAAAATTGATCTTAATGTATGAAAGCAGAAATGTCTCACCTAAACCAGAACTGCAGTCTTAACGGTAGGCTAAAATATGAATTGAAAGGCATAACTAATAGAAACCTAGATCTCAGATGCTTTCAGATACGCCTTGGTTTATGAATGACATAAACTTTAGATATCTAATTTAGCCAGTGTGAAAGGCTCAATCAAGGCTATGCGTTTGGCACATTAAGCGAGGAATGTCTTCAACCTGATGATTTACTTTGTGCAGAATTAACATGCTTTGTGTGCATAACTTACAGCTGCCACTCAAGGTGAACTTTCTAATTAAGGGGCATTACCATGTAACCTTAGTTTAATATAGACACTGCTTATGAATCCCCTTGCTAGGATGTGCTGTATGTCTCTGAGTCACACTCAGATCTAATCAGGAAGTAGCTTTTTTAGCTTTTAGGTCATGTTCTTTCTCTGTGTGAGTGTGAAGATGAGATCTTCGTTCAAAATTTAACCCAAACAGATGAACTGCAGGGTTGGATATTATTATTTACATACCATGGGAATGTTATGATGAATAGGCAGTCACTTGTTTATCTGTAAATAGTATCTTCTCATACTGGTTATAAGAACATTGATCTTTATACTCTAGCTTTAGAGAAGTTTTGTAGCTGTCCATTTATGCTTGGGAATGTACTTTATTCTACTCAGTTTTCTTATCCCTCATGATCTCACCTTCACTAAAATAAGTAGGGGAATTATAAAAGAATAGTATTATGCAGAAAGTCACAGGAGCATCCTGGTTTTGAGGTGCAATGTCCCATCAAAATGTGTTGATGATAATGTGCAAAAAAGCCTGTTAGATCAGAGTATTGCAAATGTTTGAGCTCTCTGTTGACTTCGTTTTGAAGTATAGCTTTAGCTTCAGGGTAGCCTAGCTCTCATTTTTGCTCTGAAAATGAATCCCCACAAGACTAACTTAACTGAATTTGGATTTGGTCATGCGATAGTGCCAAGGCTACCCTGGGGGAAAGATAACTGGAATGACTGAGGAAGAATAGGTTGAAATTTGGTTCATAAAATGTAGCCATTGGTTAATTTTTCATTGAGTAGAAAGGGTTTGCTAGTTCTACTAGAAGCTAGTATTCTGATTTTTTTTCCTGATTATGTCAAAGGTGTTTAAACCTGTGCTAGGTGCTTTTTGATACATGCATTAAACAAACAATCTCTAAGCGAAAAATTTGGCTGTATCTTACCAAAGAATGTCAGCACGACTCAGGCTAATTTTTTTTTCCAACAAAACCCAAAGAAATGTTGCTTGTTCTCCCCTTTATTAATGTGAATTAACCTCACTGGGGTAAATTCAGTGACTGTATCACAGATTTTTACACTGTCGTTAGTCAAACACTTTATTTTTAGGATGAAGCATATGGTTTTTTAAAGCTCTAGTTTGTAGTGCAATTGATAGAAATTGTTGATTCTTAATAGTTCTCTGTACCTGGTCTAATTTTTAAATTTGCCCTCCTCTGAGCAGGTGGTTGGACCAGATAACCTCCAGAGGTCCCTACCACCTGAATTATTTTGTGATTTAGCAACTGCCATTAAAAATGTGGGTGTTATTTTCAGGTTGAACTTTGCAGACTTTAGCTTTCAGCCCCTCAATCTTATTTTGCTTGCATTTTCTAAAGAACATTTTGTTACCAAACATCTGTTCCCTGTTTTGTAAATAGAGATTATGATCAAGTCTTTACCTTAATTAAACCAAGTAAAATAAATTACTTTAGTGTATTTACTGGTGGATAGTTGCCTAATTTCAGTGCAATCTTGTTCTTTTTAATGTATGAATTCCAGAAGAGTGTTTGATTTTATGTATGCAAGTGATATACTTTTTGAACATCATTTTGTCATATCCACCTTTCAAAGATTGCAGTAGATCATTACTACAGTGTTAAATTGGGAAATGACATTCAACTGGCTAACAACCCCAGGTTTTAAGTTCTCTTCCAAGCTGCTCATTTATAGGGGCTCTGTTTCTTTTCAGTAGTTGACTTAACTCATGCTGTTTCATTGTACTAAGTCAATGAATTAAATATTTACATATATTAGCCTTTTAATGTGTTAGTTAACTGTCCTCCCGACTTGTCATAAAACATTATGGTATCTGCAAATTTTGGTAGTCCTCACATTCTTTTCTTTCAAAATTATGAACTAAAATTATTAATATAGCGTGGGCGAGCACAAGTCCTACTGACCTTTTCTCTTTATGAATATTCAAAAGAATGCTGTTTGACTTTATCAGCGTTGTGAAAGTGTACTGTACCTCTGAAAAGTAGGATGTTCTGGACAGTGCAGAAGCTGCCTTGTATGCAATACTGCTGCTGTGACGATTTTTGTAATTCCTGTATTTAATCATTTTACAGAGAGGAAATAGGATGCAGGTACTAATTTTTTAAGAGTTTTTTAAACTCTAAGAAAAAAACATTTTAGCATGTCATCTTGCTTGTGGAGGATGTAGAAAGAATATCTCTATAACTATTATTTATTTTCTAAGAAAATAAGATCAAAATGCTGTAAGTCTTAGTCCTGGAAGGTTTTGGTTTTGTTCTTTGGTTTTGGTTTTTTTTTTTTAATGAGATCCCTAGTGCATTGCTATGTATCAGAGAAAAATAAATCAGAATAATATTGTGACCTACATATTTTAATATTTTAGTATAATATTGCAAGTGCTTTTAACCTTTCAGTTAAACTAGTCTGATGTATTTAAAGAAAAAGTCAATATGCATTTATTTTGGAAGGAATCCCGAAGCCATTAACATTTTTAATGCTAATGTAATCTTGAATGTGCAACATAAGTATAGCTAACATTAATTCTGCTCTACAAAACAGTAAAATTTCAGTTTTACTATACATAAGTCCTCTATTCTTTGACCTGAAGTAATTCAGTTTGTTCAGAATGAAGCTCATATTGTATTTCTAGCACAGAAATTAAAGGAATAATTTTAAAAGGAGCATTAGCTCTGAAATCAAGCTGTAAGCCCTCCTGTGATCATTTTGTTCTCTTGGTACTTGGAGGGTTAAAAGGAGATGGTGGATGTGCTGTTTGAAGTGTGTAAAACTTGTAGGAAAAACTGCCTTGGGCATTGCCAACCAAACTGACTAATTGAATTCTTTTTGTGTGCTATAGAAAATAACAGTATGAATACAGAAGAGACATCAAAGGGATACTTGACCATGAAATGCTAATATAAATTCTTCTCTGTGTTCCTTGGCACTCACAATCTTCTGATTTAAACTTTCTTGTTTGGTAACAATATTCTTTAAACTGTATTCACTTAGAAATTAATT